TGTATGAACATTTCAACAATCCAAGAAAAAGTACTTGGCCTAAATCATTGTTTTGTGTTTTAAAAAACTAAAAACAGAAACTTCCTCTACTTGATAAATAACTTATAAAACATACCCATAACAATAACAGCACATCATGCTTAATGCAAGAGAATTAAATATTTTTTCCTCCCAAATCAGGAGAAAGAAAGCATGTTTATGCTGCTTATATTCAGCACAGTATAAAAGCCTCTCACAAGCACAATTAGAGAAGAAAATGAAATAAAAACGTAAATTTGGGAAAGATAATATTCTCCATGTGTAGATGATGACGTGATCATCAAAGCAAAAACTTCCTAAGACCTCCACTAAAACATGCTTAGAATTAAAAATTGTTTGGCAATATTTAAGGTTAGTGAATCAAAATTAGTTATATTTTTCATACTCTCGCTATAAACTATATAAGATTAAATTTTGAAACAATTATAGTAGCATGAAAAAGAATAAAATATTTAGGAAAAAATATTTAAAAGATGTGGAGCGGTCTAATTACTGCAAAATATTGTCAGAGGAACTTAAAGATCTAAATAAATGGGAGCTCATATCATGTGCATGTGTTAGAAAATTTAGTATTAAGATACCAAAATTTCCCAAATAAATCTACAAATTCAATATAAACTCTATCAGAATCTCAGGAGTCATTTATTTAAAAGTTAGAATACTAAGGGGCCAGCGATTTAGCTCAGTGGTTCCGCTGCCTGCTTCTTAATCACAAGGACCCGAGTTCGATCCCTGGTACAAAAAAAAAAAAATCAAAAAAATTAGAATACTAATTTTAAAATATACATGCAAATTCAAAAAATATGAAAGCAATTGTGAAAACAATACCCAAATCAATCTTGCTTGACCAAAAAACATCAGTGGAGGAACTAAAAAGCCAGAAATACAGGCTTTATTTATGATAATCAGTTTTCACCAAGAATGCCAAAGTAATAGAAAGGAGACAGGACAATCTAATAAAAAAGAAAATGGCTGGCCGGGGGTTTAGCTCAGGTTTTTGGTGGGCTGCCTGGCCAGCGCAAGGACTCAAATTCAATACCCGGGCCCAAAAAAAAAAAAAAAAAAAAAATGATGTTGGAGCAACAGGATATGTTCATGTGAAAAAATAAAGTTAAACCCCTACCATAAACAAAAATTGTTTCACATTGGATCAAAGATACACATTTAATAACTAAAAGTTAAACACTATTAAGAAAACTATAGAAACAAATCATTGTATTCTTGATCATACAATGCTTCATAGCTATGACACTATAACACAACCAGCAATAATAACAAGAAAAATAGATAAACTGGGCTACATCATCAAGAAAATTTATGCTTCAGTAGAAATCATGAAGTGAAATTACAACCCGCACAATAGGAGAAAACATTTGCAAATTTTATTATAGAAAATTTTATCTAGAATATTAGAAAAAGCTCACAACTTTTAACAAAAAATACGCAAATAAAAACATGCTCAAAGGATTTCAGTAATGATTCTCTAAAAGCTATTTACAAACGTTCAATAACACAGGAAAAGATAGTCAAGCATGTTAGTCTTTAAGCAAATATAAGCCAAAACTGCAGTGAAATAAGACTTCACATCCACTAGAGTGGTTACAACAAAAAAATACAAAATTGGGGCTGGGGATTTAGCTCAGTGGTTCCACCGCCTGCCTTGTAAGCACAAGGACTGGAGTTTGATCCCCGGTACAAAAAAATATATATATTTATATACACACATACAATAACAAGTATTTGAAAGACATGGAGACTTTAAAACCCTCACACATTGCTAGTTACTAGAGTATCTATTTTGAAAAATACTTTACATTTCCTCAAAATTTAAACACAAAATTACCACGTTGCTCATCCAAACCAACATCGTAATAACTAAAGTTTATACACTCCTCTTCTTCTAGGATCCTTTCTTCACTTCACTTGTTATCTGAGTGTGTATCTTTAAATTTTCACATTAAATTTTACTCATTTCTATAATGAACTTTTCCCCAAAATTACATTTTTCTGATTATCGTAATTCATGTTTATCTCTTGCATATATTTTGTTTGGCTTTTTTTCTTGTATCTTTTTGAAACTCGACCATATAATATTTATCCCAAAACTGGGGTAAATTCTGCAATGCCTTCAATATATTCATAGACACAGTTAGAATTAAACTTTTTAAACTTCATATTTTATTAGTACATATTTGTTATGCATATTGATCACGTTCATCGTAGGGAATCTGTGCCTGTATACTATTTATCTCGATTCTTCTCCCCGCTTTCTCTCCCTTCACTTCACCTCCTCTTCCCCTCCCTGTTTGTGAAAGCTTTGTTTCCATATTTTCTTCTATTCCCCGCCTCCTGCTACCCTCCAAGGAATAGAATTAACTTTTTCAACTCTGAGTTGAATGCAGATTTTGTACATTTATTCCTTAAGTCTAATTCTAAGAATCCTGAGGTATACTGAGAATAAAATTTAACAGGCTCAGTAAGAATGCTTTGGCTCCACAGATATTTCTTCTAATTATTAGAATCATGGCCCTGAAGATAGAAAATTTCCAAAAGCGTATTTTAAAAATTTTATCTGGCCAGCGCAAAATGTTACCATGGCTACCACCAGAAATGCTCGAAGGCTGGTGGGTGTGGGATACAAAAATCAATACACAAAACTGAGTATCTTTCCTATATACCAATAATTAACCTTTTGCGAAAGAAATCAGGAAAACAATTTCATCACAATGGCTTAAAAAAATCCCTGGGAATTAATCTAACAAATGACAAAAAAGTAAACCTACAATGAAAATTACATATTGAAGAAAGAAATTGAAGAAGACATAAAATGAGAAGGCCTCCTACGGACCAGCAGAAATAATATTGTTAAAATGGGCACGTTACCAAAACCAACCCGCAGGTTCAATGAGGTAGCAACATTCTTCACAGAACTAAAAAGAAGCAATCCTAACATTCATGTGGAAGCACAAATGACCCAGAAGAGGCAAAGTAGTCTTAAGCAAAAAGAGCAATGCGGGAGACTTCACAGTCCTGAATCTTATATTATAAAAGTCACAGCCACAGAAACAACATGGTAGTAGCACTAAAACGGACATTTAGAACAGTGGAAATAAACAGAAGATAGAGAGAAAAGCCCATGTACGTATCACTATCTGATTTTTCACAAAGGAGCCAAAAACATACACTGGAGAAAAGATAGCCACTGTGGTAAGTGACGCTGAAAAAACTGGCTACCCACACACAGATGCCAGAAAGCAGATTTCTCTACCAAATCTCAATGGACCAAAACCTTAAATAAAGGACAGGAAACTTTGCAACTGCTGGAAGAATATAGGGGAAACACTTGAATCCTTAGGCACAACCAACTATTTACTAAATAGGAAGCCAAAGGCACAAAATAATATCAAGAGTGAACACATGGACTACATCTAATTAAAAAGCACCCTGTGCAGCAAAGGAAGCAATCAACAGAGTGAAAAGACAACTTACAAAATAGAAGTAAATCTTTTGTTAATCTTCTAATGGAACATTAACATCTAGAATACTTCATATAAGGATCTCTAAAAACCTAACACAAAGAAAACTCCCAAAACAAATAGCTCAATCAATGAATGAGTAAATGACTTGTACAGTTCTTAAAAGAAGTAATAGCAGCCAATGAGCACATGAGAAAACGTTCACCAATTTTAGCCATTACAGAAATGCAAGTCAAAACTACTTTGACATTCCATCTCACTACAGTCAGAATGGCTATTGTCAACAATAGAAAAAAAAAAAGAGGACCAAGACCTGTCATGTAGAGATACAAGATCCCAATGATGAATGCAACTGTACTGTATACCTAAAATGTACCAACAAACTCAATGAGAGAAAAGAAAAAAAAAAGAATAGAAAAAAACAGGGCCAGGGATTTAGCTCAGTGGTGCCACCACCTGCTTTTCAAGAGGAAGGTCCTGAGTTCAATCCCAGGTACAAAAAAAAAGAAAAAAGAAAAAACAATGCAGGTTAAAATGCAGAAAAAACAGTACCCACAGACATTGCTGATGGGAATATAAACTAATACAACCACTATGGAAATGCATGTGGAAGTTCCTCAAAAAAATAAAAATAGATAAATCACTTATTCCTGCTGTACCACTACTTGTTATATTGCCAAAAGAATTAAAAATAGGATACTACAATAATGCATGCATACTCATGTTCACAGTGTCACAGGTCACAATAGCTAAACTGTAGAAACAGTTTAGATGCCCATCAACAGATGAATGGATAAAGAAAATGGCATATTACTCAGCAATAGAGAGGAACAAAAATCAGGTTTTTTGCAGGAGAATTGATGGAAATAAAGACCATCGTGTTTAGCAATTATAGGCTTAAAAGTTAAATATCTCAGGTTTTCTCTTATATAAGCAATCTATAAATAACAAACACATGCAAACATATGGGGAAGGAAATCGGGGAAAAGCAGCAGAGGGGCTAAGGTGGCAACAGCAAGGAAAATAATCAAAATATGCTATATGTATGCACTAATACCCAAAACAAATCTCATTATTCTGCATTACTAATATCTGGCCATCACAAAAAAATATTGGTGGGCACATGGAGGATAGAGTTCTTATAGCCACTTTCAAATGATTCTGAAAAATAAAGCTGCAGTTTTCTGTAAATAGGTTAGGATCACATAGGAATATGTGTAACAGTTTACACTTCGCTTTTCATGACTTGACTCCTTGTTTTCCCAAGATTCCTTTCTAGTTCAGTTGAGAAACAGATTACATATACAAAAATCACAAATGTTTTCATTGAAAACAATTTAAAATAAAGTGGGGATATTCCATCACTGAAAGAAAAAAAATCCCTGAAGTTGAAGATGATTCTTGACTCTAACCAAGTAAATATATTTCAATGGTGTTAACTTTCAAAACTAAAAAGCTCAGCCAATTCAATTTGTTCAACTCTAGAGCATTTGTGTAATCCAGATTATGGATTTTTATGATCTACAACCTGCAATACAATGGATGAGTTCGTCAGAGACAATACCTAACTCTCCACCAGCACTGGAACATTTGGCTGGGGTAATGTATTCCATAACTGATTTGATCCATCAAAATATAAATTTAGCTTTTTCATATTGTAATTTATACTATAAAATTTTGATTCTAGATTGAAATACTATAAGATTAATACTAAGATTTTTGTATTTCATTTGAATTAAGATTTTTATATTTCATTTGAATTTACATTTTCATTTTAGTTAAGGTAGTAAGGTTACACTTTAAATATATTTCTACCTTGGAAACCCATTTAAGAATCAACACCTAGTTTTTGAAAAAGGAGATTAAATTTTAAGTATGTAACTTAAAAGCAACTCCAGAAATTTTCATTTTATCTAATGTTTGAGTGTTAGTAGATTAGAATGCAAATATGAACTATGTATACTAGTAATTGGAAAGTTATTCTATACCAGATTATATGAGATTGAATTGTCATTTGTTTATGCTGTCAATTCTGATGTAATTTCTTGAGATAGTCTCTCTGAATAATTGACTTTGACAATTCAGATGCATTAATCATTGATCATATCTTATTTTGTAATACTTTAAAAATGAAGTGGGGACTGGGGATTTAGCTCAGTGGTTCCAGCGCCTGCTTCACAAGCGCAAGGACCCGAGTTCCATCCCCAGTACAAAAAAAAAAAAATGAAAAAGAAAAATGAAGTGGTATGCATTTTCCTTCTAAAAGGGATATTTAGATTTCCAATACTTAGATATAAATATCTCACAAATGAATATAAGTAATAAATTCTTTTAAAATTTGGGTAAAAAACTATACTAAAAATTTACTTCAAATTGCATATAGAAAATTCTCTCTGAATTTAAATAATGTAATCAAAATATTGTTTAATAAAGTTTTCTTAACCAAAATGTTAAATACATTAACAACAGGTGTAAGATATTCTACAGACTAAGAATTTTCAATTTGTCTGTTTCTATGGTTAAATAAATGTTAATATTTAATTTCCCCTATGACATAGAAGATATGTCACAAGAAAATTAGATATTGATAATTAATTACTTTAAAAATCTTAAAAGCATTAACTTATTTATATTAGTACATGCTTTAAATTTAGTTTATTTCATACTACTTTATTTTTTTACTCTAATAGATAAACCAATTAATAGTGTGCCAACGTTTTGATTCGGAAGGTATGTATCCGAATACATATATACATTTAAAGATGTGATGTGTTTTGCTGTAGTTAGATCAACCCCTATGAATTAAAACACTGTTCATGTTTGAGGAAAATAAACGAAAAAGAGACTACATGAAAACAGACTACATAGAAGGTTCTTAGAAATTAAGAAGCTGATAGTCTTCTCATGGAAAAGGAAAATGATATTGGCTCTAGGATTATTCCTCAAGATGCTGGTTTGAGGTTTGCTAAACATAGGACTGAGAGCCGAAATGGTTTTCCCATCATGAATTCTTCAAATACAGGTGTTTAAAAGAAGTAGTGATTCCTGATTCTTCAGAAATTCTGCTATCAGAATCAGGGTGAAGTAAGTTTCCAGATAGTTTTCAAGTCTGAGAAGTTAACTGTCCTTTAAAACACAATTACTTAATGGCACCCTAGAGAAGTATTTGTTTCATGTAGATGAAACTACAGTCCATGTAAATAAAATTTCTAGTTTTAAAAATAGTAATATCACCACTGATGACTTTTCTTATAAACTTCAGAGATTTTAAGACTAAAATGGGCATTTATGTTTCTAAAAAAACACTTTCCAATTTAGTTTTGTATTTAAAAAGTGCTTTGGATTTTTTTCTTGCTGCATGCATGGCATGAAAGAGCTTTTTTTTTTTTTTTTTT